TTGCTCCCTGATTGCATCCTTCCAGCCCTAAACGGCGCGGGCCGTCTTGAGGCCCTCTTGGAGGCCTCTTCCTCTATATTGGAGCGGTATTGGAAGCCTCTTGGGCCGTCTTGGAACATCGGGATGCCAAAAGGCCGAACAAATTAAAACCCGTCAAAGCCCAATCGTAAAACAATGAGTTGTGCCTCTTGGGGCCACCTTGGGAGCCTCTTGGAACCTCGTCGGCCCTCTTGGGAGCTTCTTGGGGGCCTCTTGGATCCGCTTGGGGGCCTCTTGGGACTTCCCGAGAACCTCTCGGGGTAGAAAGCTCGGATTCTCAGTTCGTGTTTCCCTTCTTGGGCCTCTCTTGGGGCCGTCTTGGGGCCCTCTCGGGCCCTCTTGGGCGGATCAGGCACCGCCTTGGGGCCCTCGTGGGCCGCCCAGGGCCTTCTTGGAAGCCTCTTCGGCTATCTTGGAGCTATCTTGGAGGCCTCTTCCTCCTCCTCGTCCCCCTCCTCCTCCTCCCACTCCAGCTCTCTCTCCTCCTGATCTTCCTCCTCCTCCTCCTGCAGCGTGTTCCGGAAGGCTCCCGCCAGAACATGCTGTGCACAAGTGCTGTCACTGCTCCCGTCACAGTGCCCTGGGTGGTGGGTCAGAGGCCTCATCGTCGACTCGGAGTCGACGATGAGTTCTGTCTGTGTGTGCTTTCCGCTCCTGAACTTGGGCCCTCACAGGCGGCCCGGCAGCGCCTACCCCAGGTCTGCGGGGGCTCTCGGCGTGGGCCACATGGGCGCTTTGCGGGGGGCTCTCTTGGGCCGCCTGCGAGCGTCTGCGGGCGCTCGTGGGGGCCTCCGGGCGCCTCATCGCAGCCTCCTGGGGGACAGCGGAGGCGCTTCGGTGATCTTCTGTGGAGCCTTTGGGGGCTGTCTCGGGCTGTCTTGAGGCCCTCGGGGAAGGATTTGAACATGATTTCTGTTTTTTGATATTGATCCTGTCCGCCTCGAGGCCAAGGTCCAGCCACAAAGCACGGATGAGCCGCGCACGCACACTATTTCGCACGGAGATGGTGCGTCGCGGTCGCGCAACGCTCATGCTGCAAGATCGAATGATTGAACAGTGCTGCAACTTCAGCAGGCAACTGTTTCTGAAAGATACAGCAGCGTTCACACTTGAGGAGGGGGCAAGGTGAAGGGAGAGGGAGAAAAGTGATGATTTTGATCCTGTCCGCCTCGAGGCCAAGTTCCAGCCTCAGAGCACGGATGAGCCGCGCACGCACATTTCTTCGTACTGTTCCGCATGCTTCGTCAACTGGCTGTTGGAGGCACTTCTTGGGTGTCTCATGGGGGGGCGTCTGAGGGTCCCTTGGAGGCATCGGTTCTGCAATCTGAAGCCGTCATTGGCCGTCTTGGCTGCGTGGAGGCCCGACTTGAGGCCACCTGCGGCCACCTGAGGCAGGCTGAGGCTGAGGCTGAGGCCGAGGCTGAAGGCCGACTGAGGCTGAGGCTGAAGCAGGCTGAGGCTGAGGCTGAGGCTGAGGCAGGCTGAGGCTGAGGCAGGCTGAGGCTGAGGCTGAGGCTGAGGCTGAGGCTGAGGCTGATGCAGGCTGAGGCTGAGGCAGGCTGAGGCTGAGGCCGAGGCTGAAGGCAGACTGAGGCTGAGGCTGAAGCAGGCTGAGGCTGAGGCGCAGGCTGAGGCTGAGGCTGAGGCAGGCTGAGGCTGAGGCTGAGGCTGATGCAGGCTGAGGCTGAGGCAGGCTGAGGCTGAGGCTGAGGCAGCTGAGGCTGAGGCTGAGGCTGAGGCTGAGGCTGAGGCTGAGGCAGGCTGAGGCAGGCTGAGGCTGAGGCTGAGGCAGGCTGATGCTGAGGCAGGCTGAGGCTGAGGCAGGCTGAGGCTGAGGCTGAGGCTGGCCGAGGCTGAAGGCAGACTGAGGCTGCAGGCTGCTGAAGGCAGGCTGAGGCTGAGGCTGAAGGCTGAGGCTGAGGCAGGCTGAGGCTGAGGCTGAGGCTGAGGCTGAGGCTGAGGCAGGCTGAGGCTGAGGCTGAGGCAGGCTGAGGCAGGCTGAGGCTGAGGCAGGCTGAGGCTGAGGCTGAGGCTGAGGCTGAGGCTGAGGCTGAGGCTGAGGCTGAGGCTGAGGCAGGCTGAGGCAGACGCCAAGGCAGGCTGAGGCTGAGGCAGGCTGAGGCTGAGGCTGAGGCTGATGCAGGCTGAGGCTGAGGCCGAGGCTGGAGGCAGGCTGAGTCTGAGGCTGAAGCAGGCTGAGGCTGAGGCTGAGGCTGAGGCAGGCTGAGGCTGAGGCTGAGGCAGGCTGAGGCTGAGGCAGGCTGAGGCTGAGGCTGAGGCTGATGCAGGCTGAGGCTGAGGCAGGCTGAGGCTGAGGCCGAGGCTGAGGCTGAGGCTGAGGCTGAGGCAGGCTGAGGCTGAGGCAGGCTGATGCTGAGGCAGGCTGAGGCTGAGGCTGTGACTGCGACTGCCGTTGCCACTGCGACTGTCATCGCGAATGCGGCTGCGACTGCGAGAACAGCCGAATTCTACAACTGGATTATCATCTGAATCTCAAAGGGAATGCTTCCAGACATTCTTCTACACATCGCTGTTAGGTTGCTTTGCCGGGATAATTTTGGTCCTGTCCGCGTCGAGGCCAAGGTCCAGCCTCAGAGCACGGATGGACCGGCCGCGCACGCACAATACTTCGCACGGAGATGGTGCGTCGCGGTCGCGCGACGCTCATGCAGCAAGATCGAATGATTGAACAGTGCTGCATCTGCAGCAGGCAACGGTTTCTGAAACATACAGCAGCGTTCACACTTGAGGAGGGAGCAGGGTGAAGGGAGAGGGCGAAGAGTAATGATTTTGATCCTGTCCGCCTCGAGGCCAAGGTCCAGCCTCAGAGCACGGATAAACCGGCCGCGCACGCACACTGCTTCGCACGGAGATGGCGCGTCGCGGTCGCGCAACGCTCATGCAGCAAAAAATGGAGTGATTGAGCAGTGCTGCAACTGCAGCAGGCAACGGTTTCGGAAAGATGCAGCAGCGTTCATTGCTCCTGCTCCTGCTCATTGCCGCCCTTTCCTCGTGAAACTCCTTTTCTCTCTCTCTCTCTCTCTCTACTCGTGAAGGCTAGATTGTGCGAGGTGCGGCTGCAGATACGAACGCAACCATCTGGCGGCCGAAAACGGCTCAGAGCCTCAAGCCATCCAGAGTCTGCTAAACAATGTTTAAAACGTGTGTGTTTTAGCTAGTTGTTCCTCCTCCTCCTCCTCTTCCTTCTCGCCGCCCTCCTCGTCCTCCTCCTCCTTTCCTTCCTGATGTTCGTTATCTTCATTGTCCTCCTCCTCGTCCTCCTCCTCCTTTCCTTCCTGATGTTCGTTATCTTCATTGTCCTCCTCCTCGTCGAACCGTTCCTCCTCCTCCTCCTCCTCCTCCTCCTCCTCCTCCTCCTCTCTCCTCCTCCTCCTCCTCCTCCTCCCTCCTCCTCCTCCTCCTCCTCCTCCTCATGACAATATTTATCCTTCTCCGCCTCCTCGTCCTCCTCCTGCCCCTCCGCGTCTCTCCTCCTTTTCTTCCTCATTCCTCCTCCTCCTCCTCCTCCGTCCTCCTCCTCTTCCTCCTCCTTCATCCTCCTCCTCCTCTTCTTCCTCCTCCCCCATCCCTGCTAACTCTTCGTTCAATGTCAAGCGGCCTCGAAGCCCGACTCTCGGGGCCGAGCCGCGAAGAGTTCCCCAGCAAGCCTCCAGAGCACGAAAGCCTGTCAGCTGCACCACAACGCGGCAAGGTCAGCGCAATTCGCAAATTGGCCGAACGTCATCCTCCCGACTCCTCCCTCCCCCCACTCTGCCCTCCACCTTCTCCCTCCTCGTCTCCCCCCCAGTCACTCCTCCTCTTCGATCACTTGCGGCCCAGCCGCTTCGTGCGCATGCGGGACTTTGCCCTGACAAGCCGGGGCTTGCCCATCTTGCGGGGCTTTTTGGCGCCCCGCCGGGACACGACGCCGTGCGCTTCTGCTGGGCCCTTGCTGCCGCGAATGATGCGCAGCGTGTCTGCGTCGCAGCTGCACGGCCGCTTGCCTGTCCAACCGCTGCGCGCCTTGCGGGTCGTCGCTGTCCAACTGCTCTCGGAACCACTCCCTCCGCGCCTGGCCTAACGCCGCGACGCCGGGATTGTGCGCTAAGTACACAGCGGCGGCGGCGCGCGCCGTCGCACGGGTGGCCGCTGCGCCCCTGTGCGTGCACATGTTTTTCTGGAAACTCTTCCCCGTTCCCCACTGCCCCTCCGCCGCCTGGCTGACGCAATGACCCGGATGCTGGTCGACGCGTCGCTCATGCGGCCCATGGCGTCCATGACCGCCTGGAGTTGCGGCGCCGCAGCGCCCCTAGGGATCTTTTCCAAGCGGGTGAACTGCTTTTTTTGCTGCATCCCGTGGACGGCGTACGCGAGCGGAACCGCTCCCCCCTCGATGCTGCGGACCGCGCTGGCCTGGCCGCCGTCAGCGCATGCGATGGCTCCCGCCGCCAGGGACCCCCGCACCACGCCCTCCACGCCTTCCAGTGTTTCAGGACCTGGGACTGTACCCTTCGGACACGAGACGTCCGCGCACGTGACTATCTTGCGTCTCTTCGTGTCCCTGTCCTTCAACACCACCACCCTGCCAGTGTGCAAGTTCTCGTGCGGGTCCGAGCGCAACACGGCGTGCCTCGCCACGTCGATGTCCACCTCGCGTGCACCGAATGTAAGGTCCCTCCCCGTCCTCACCGACCACCACGCGACGACGTCGCGATGGGAAGCGAAGCGACGGGAAACGACGTCCTCGCACACGTCGGTCAGTTGCACGGTCTGGTCGATCCTCTCCTGGTTTGCAAAGCACCACGCCACCCTCCAGTAGGACTGATGCGTCATGCGAGTCCCGCACATGGGGGTGAACGCAGTCAGCGGCATGTTACGCACGCCGCATTTGTGCCTCTTGCACACGAGACCCTGGCGCGACGCGCTAGGACATTCGGCAGTCTGCGTCGCCACGCGGGCCTGCGCGTCCGCGCAAGCATCGCCAGGGAAACCTGATCGGACAAGAAAGGGAAGCGTCGCTTTAGTCTAATGGGCGCATTGGGCGAAGAGGAAAAGGAAGGCGAGGGCAACGAGGAGTCGATGACGAGGACGACGTGGCGAGCGCGAGGATAGCGAGGAGGAGCATGAGGACAACGAGGAGGAAGAGAAGCACAAGGACGAGGACGAAGAGAACGAGGACGGGTCCCCTGGGGGTGCCTTTTGGGGGTTCTCTCTTGTGCCGTTTTGAAGCCCTCCGGGGGCGACTCCAAGATAATGCTGGTTCGGGGTCCCCTCCGGAGCCGATTGTTCGAGGATGTCTCGAGCGACGAATCCCAACGACTCCCTACAACTCCTGCGACTCCGCAGGTTACGACTCCTTACGAATCCGCACGACTCCCTACGACTCCCTACGACTCCCTACGACTCCCTACGACTCTTTACGAACCCCCACGACTCCCTACGATTCCCTACGACCCCCTGCGACCTCCTACGATCCCCTACGAATCCCTACGACTCCCTACGACTCCCTACGACCCCCTACGGCCCCCTACGACTCCTTACGAATCCCTACGACTCCCTACGACCCCCTACGACTCCGCACGGTTCCCTACGTGTGTTGATCCTGGACAGGACCGGGGCCACTCCCCCAGAGTGCCAGCGGCATATCGATACCTGCTTTTTCTGGGAGCCTACGGTGGACTGGACCATCGAAAACGTAGTGAAGCTGAGAGTAAAAGTGCAAGAGAAGAGCAATGAAAATGAGAGGATGGAAGGACCACTGTTTTCCGTCAGCGCTGCTGGGACGCGCGTTGATTCCGTTTGTGCGGAACCAATCTTGAGCCAGAGGTGGGCGCTGCATTGTGCCCCGCCTCTGCCGCCACACGTTGCTGCACTTACTTCTTGATGCTGCTGATGCTACACCCAAAGCTTATCCCACGTAGTGGGATTGAGCGTACCGAAACAATGTTGCCTTCTGATAATCTCCCCTGCTACTGGAGACCTGGGCGCCATGTACCAGGGCTCTCCGGGAGTTCAGTGGGGGCACAGGGGGCAAGGGGAGAAGAGAGAAAGAGAGAAAGAGAGAAAGAGAGAGAAAGAGAGAGAGAGAGAGAGAGAGAGAGAGAGAGAGAGAGAGAGAGAACAAAAAAAAAGAGTCCGTAGACATTTTGGCTCAAGGCCATGAGACACCCGACGACCGCGAGTCCCTCGCGGGCGTCTCCTGAGCGCGAGGGGTCTCGCGCTTTGGGCCAGGACTCTTTGCAAATTCTTTGCCATCGCCCACGGCCGCGGCGGGCGGCGGCCGCGCTCTGTCTCCTTGCCGCGCTGGGGGCGCCATGGCTGGGGGCAGCTCTGGCGGCGGGGCGCGCGGCGGAGGTGGCAGCGGCAAGTCGGGGACGTCAGGGGGGCCTGGCGGCGGGCCCCGCAGCGGCGAGCCTGGGGCCACGGGCAAGGCAGCTGCCAAGAGCCCCTGGTACTGCAAGTCGCGCAGTACGCCCGACGCCAGCAGGGGCTTCAGGAAGCTCAACTTCGGAGACCGCATGCAGTGCAAGTGGTGCAACATGCCGAAGAGCTCCCACTTCGGGGGGAAGCCGGCGCAGGCGGCGCCCCCGCGGAGCAACGCCGAGGTCAAGCTCGCCCAGGCGCTGGACGACCTCAAGAAGCTTAAGGCGGCGGCGGCCCAGCCTGATGCGGGAGGAAGCTCTGCGCCTGGAGGCGGCGCGCCCACCTGGCGAGAAGACGCAGCGGCGGGGGGCGAGAAGCGCCAGCGCCTGGAGCAGCTGGACAAGCAGCTGGGCGAGATTCGGCGCTGGGCTGACATGGAGGACGACGGGGGCGACTTCGTGGAGGCCGCCCGCAGCGGGAAGGCCAAGCTCGAGGCGGAGCGAGATCAGCTGCGCCAGGAAGTCTTCCAGGCCAAGCCCAAGGACGTGCAGCTCAAGAGCCTCGCGAACCATATCAAGGAGCTGGAGAAGCAGCAGGAGAAGGGCCGTGGGGAGATGGTGGCAGTGGCAGCTCAGCAGAGGGAGCTTGACGACAAGGCCGAAGCGCTGCGCCTGGCGGACGCCGAGAGGGGGGCGAAGTTGGCCGAGCTCAGGGCGGAGCAGGCTCGCACGCTGGGCAAGTTGGCTCAGCCTCCTGCTGAGCTGCGCAGTGGCATGGAGGGGGAGATCGAGGTCGAGGGCCTCGAGGTATCCGCCAACTTCCTGGGAAAGATGCTGGGCTCGATCGGGGTCGAAGGGGCTCTGCATGCGTCGCTGCTGGAGCCGGCGACCAAGGTCGAGCAGCAGCACCGAGAGACCAGGGCGGCCGAGGCTGCAGCGGCAGCAGCAGCCAAGACGGCCGAGCGGGAGCGTGCCCCGATCCCCGGGGAAGGAGACCCTGCAGGCGGAGAAGCCATGGGCGATGAGGAGCTGGACGTTGACACGCAGCTCAACTTCCTCACGAAGGTGGGGGCTGCCCCAAGCTGGGGTCGAGGGCACTGATCGTCCTGCTGACGATGACGCGCGTGAAGTCTTCAAGCGGTTATACGCCGACTTGGACCTACAGCCGCCCAAGCGGGCGCGCACTTCGGCCTGAGGGCAATGCAGGAGCCATGGCGGGCAGCAGTGGCAATGGGGTGGCCGACTACAACGAGTTGTACGAGGCCGACGAGCAGGCTGCCCGTGCTTTGGGAGTCTGCGACTACTGGGGAGCGGACAGCTGCCCAAGCCGAGAGGGCCAGGCGCGGCCAGGGCGAGCAACGGCAGCGGGCGCTGGTGGCGCGGCGCTGGGGTTGCGGTGCGCGGATGAGCTGCAAGGGTCGGCCTCAGCCCACGGGTGGCACGACCGTCCTGGAGGTGCTCCCGTGGAGGGGGGCGGACCTTCAGACCCACTCTGGGCGGAAAGGGGGTGGTCGGCCATCAAGAGGTCGGCCCCAGGATGTCAGAGGCGGTTGACCAGGATGGGTCCCCCAACTGGCAACCGCGGGTGGCGGCCTCAGGGCACGGCCCAGGGGGGGGGAGGCGGAGGGATTCAGCCCCTCGAAGTCGCAGCCTCCCCCCCGCACGGACTTCACCTTCGGCGACTCGCTGGAGGGGGGCGACCAGGTCTTCGTGGAGCTCGGCCGCCCCGTCTGCCATGAGGGCTGCAGGCCCCGAGGCCCTGCCTCGGGAGGAGCTGCAGCCGATCCTGCGCGCCCTGGGCGGAGCTCGGGCCCCCCGCTCGCCCCGCCCCCCCAGCCGCGGGATGGCGCCGCCCTCCCGCGGGCCCCAGCCTTGCCTGGCCAGAGGACAGGAGCTGCAGGCCCACCTCGGGGCCGCGTGGAGGAGCGCGCGCCTATGGTCAGGGGAGGCTGCTGCCTGGCCACCGCCAACGTGCCGTCGCGGGGTCCCCTGAGCGAGTACCTCCTTCAGGCGGATGGACAGACGACCCTGGCGCTGGCCGTGCAGGAGCACCACTGTGCGGCAAGCGCCCTGGCGACGCAGCAGCGGGCGGCCGAGGATGCTGGCTGGCAGGGGGTCTGGAGCGCAGCCACGCCGCCCCCGACATCGAAAACGGGCACGAGCGGCGGGGTCGCGGTGCTGGCCCCCACCAGCATCCAATTGACGGGCCTCCCTGGGCGCGACTCGCACGCGCTGGTGCCTGGGCGGCTGGCCGCTGGGCATGCACGAGCAGGGCCCCAAGAAGGAGTGATGGTGCTGAGCGTGTACCTGCACGTCGGGGAGGGGCTCTCGGCGGACAACCTGGGCATCATATGGCAGCTGGCCCAGTACCTCGGCGCGTTGGAGGCGGAGGGCTACCACTGGGTGGTCATGGGAGACTGGAACATGGAGGCGGGTGTCCTGGACTTCGGGTGGATCCGCAAGGTGCGAGCGCATATTCGGGCACCCGGCGCCCCCACCTGCAGGCAGGGCAGCGGCTCTAAGATCGACTACTTCGTCTTGTCCAAGAGCCTGGCTGGCTTTGTGGCGGCGCCGCCGCGGCTTGACAGCAGGGGTGCCAGCACGTGGTCCCGCTGGCCCGTCCACCTGCCCCTGCGGGCACTGAGAGCGGAGTCTCGGCAGCAGGTGCCGGATGAGCCGAGAGCAGTTCCCAGGGAGCCCGCCAAGCCTGGCTGCGCCCGTGGCCCCTGGCGGTGGACGGAGGTGATGCGATGCGTCCAGGCCGCGCAGGACGAACAAGGCCTGCAGATCATCTGGGACCTGTTGCTGGAGGGGATCGAGACGGAGATCCTCGACAGGCGGGGCCTGGTGGGACCCGCGCGCCGCGCCTTCGCTGGGCGCGGCGCGCGGAGGGAGGCTGCAGGCCTGAGGTTGGAGATGGCGCAGTGGGGGCCAACCAAGAGGCGGAAGCTGCGGGGGCCAGAGGCGCACGCCTGGACGGCGCTGGCTGGGTGGGCGTCCGAGCTCCTCAGCAAACGAGACCGCCTGGGCAAGCTGCTGGCAGCACTGGGCAGCCACATGCAGGAGGAAGGCAGAAAGGCGGCCGCGGCGAGGGGCAAGTGCGTGAAGTCCATCGCTGCCGCCCTGGCGCACCTCAAGATGTCCCTGGCGGACATCGAGGACCATGCGCACTGGCGGACCCTGCCGCGGCGGGCGCAACGGCCCTTCCGAGCTGATGCCAACTGGGCAGAGGCGGACTTCTAGCGGGACCTCAAGCGGGCCCTGGCCGAGGCAATGGAGAAGCAGAGGAGGCTGGTCCAGGCCGACGAGGCACGCTGGAAGGAGTGGGTGGACGAGGCCTTCCTGGGCGGCGCGGGAGCGGCGCATGCGACCTCCAAGGCACCTGCGCTCCAGGAGATGCTGCCCGCACTGCGGAAGGAAGGCTCAGCGGCACTGGTGGACAGGGAGATGAAGCCGTGGATCGACATCTGGAACTACCACGGCCTCACCAGCATGGAACTCCCCCCTGATGCGCATACATGGGACAAGTTGCCGCCGCTGAAGACGCACGACGTAAGGGATGTGATGCGCTCGTTCCCATGGCGCACAGGGGTGGGCCAGTCGGGCATTCCGCCGAGGGCGCTGGAGGATCTCTCCGACGAGGCCTTGCACGCCATGGTTGCGGTCTACCACAAGTGCGAGGAGCTCCTCGCGTGGCCGAGTGGCCGCCTCATCAATACCATGGTGAGGCTGCCCAAGCCTGACGGGGGCTGCAGGCTGATCGGCCTCATGCCGACTTTGGTGCGAATGTGGAGTCGTGCAGGAAGGCCGGTCACCAGGGACTGGGGGCTCGCCCATCCTTCGGCCCTGGTTTGGGGCACGGGCCCTGGACGCTCGAGCTCCGACTCCGCGTACGAGCTGAACCTGGCCAAGGAACAGGCTCGCCTGAGCGGCTTGGACTCAGCCCAGGTGGCCCTCGACCTCTGGAAGGCCTACGAGCTGGTGGCGCCAGAGGCGCAGATGGTGGAGGCACCTGCGCTGAGGTTCCCCATGAGGCTGGTGTGGATGCTGCTGAGCACCTATCGGCAGCCAAGAACGCTGGCGGCGTTCAACACCACGTCGGACCTATTCGTGGCCTGGCAAGGGAATATCGCAGGGTGCGGACGTGCCAACTCGCTGCTGATGGTACTCGCGCTCCGCGCGCTGCAGAGAGCGCACGCCATTGCGCCGTCCGTGACACGGCGTGGCCTGGTGGACGCCGCAACCCTGGACTGGAGTGGGCCACGGGGCGTGTCCGACAACAGCCTGTCCGAGGCGCTCAAGAGCTTCTCGTCGAGCATGGTGGAGCTCAAGCTAGTCATGCAGCCGCAGAAGTCGGGGCGCCTGGCCTCCTCCAGACTGAGGGCGCGGCTGATGGCGCCCTCCATGCGGCGCGCGGGCCTCGCGGAGAAGTTCTGGGCGCGCAACCTAGGGCACGAGCTCCACGGGCGGAAAGTGCTCTGTACTCATGAGAAGCGCCCCCATTCAGGCCCTCGCGGCCAGGCGCAGCCGAGTGGCCATGCAGGCGGGCAGCTGGAAGGCGCGCAGCGGCGCTGGTAACCACGGGCCTGTCCCCGCTGGCTGGCCATGGCGCGGGCGTGGCAGGCCTGGCGGATCGGCCGCTGGCACAGCTGAGGACGGTGGCGGCGGCCACGGCGGGTGTCAAGGCGGGCTGTGGCACCGCCGCAGTCATGCTGCTGCAGCGGCGTGTTCACTACGACCCGATCTACGCAGCCACCATCCCGCTGGTGACGCGCCTGGCCAGCCGCATCTGGGAGGACCGAGGATCCCTGGCCAGCCTGAGCGCCAGCTGGGGTAAACTGTCGGAGGCGGCGAGGGCGGGCGCTCTGTCCTGGGCGTCGGTGCAAGGACCGCTCGGGGCCACGTGGCTTGCGCTCGGCCGCATCGGCTGGTCGACGACAGCGGCGCGGGCGCTGCAGACCGACCTGGGCGAGACGCTGTCCATGCTGAGGGTGGCCCCGCGGGACATCAAGGATGCGCTGGTGGAGGGCATCCAGCGCTGGCAGCGCAGGCGGCTGGTAGCCCACCTGCCCGAGGGCCAGGGCGAGACCCTCTGGCCGAGGGCAGTCCGCGCTGTGGCGTGCAAGGCGACGCCCGCGGCGGAGCTGGGGGCCATCCAAGCGGTCTGGGCAGGAGGGCACTTCACCAACGCCTGGAGATGCGCCAGAGGATACGCCGACTCCGACATGTGCCAAGCCTGCGGAGGAGCCAAGGACACGCTCATGCACAGGCGGTGCGCGCACCCTGTCCTCATGGCACCGCAGGGCGAAGAGTTGGAGCAGGAGGAGCCGTTCCGCAAGCCGATCGCGGGGATGCGCCGCCAGCTAGAGGAGGCCGAGCAGAAGTGGACCATCGGGGACAGGGAGCTGCCGCTGTCGCACGGCCTGCCGCTGCTGCCTGCGACGCCGCCGCCTGCGCCGTCGGACAACGTGGTCCTGGAGTGGGGCGCCGCGCAGGAGGGCTGGCCGTCGGTGGTGTACACGGACGGCTCAGGGCACGCCTCCAATGCCCCCGAAGCGCGAAGGTGTGGATGGGCCGCGGTGGCCCTCAGGCCTGATGGGCCCCCTCTCAAGGCGGCCTGCGGGCCGCCGCCTGGGCCGCGCGAGACGGTGGGGGGGGGGCTGAACGGCAAGCGTGCCTAGTGCCCCTGCTGCAGGCGGGCTCCGTCCAAGTCATCGTCAGCGACCTGCAGGCCCTGGTCACGGAGGGCAACGACTGGTCCCCGACAGCGCAATCGGCTGAGGGATGGCACGCCAGCATCTGGCGCCAACTCCATGCGGCTGCAGCGAGGCGCGGGGGACAGCCCCCGCGATTACGATGCGTGCCCGCCCACCGAAGCCTCCAACAAGCGCTGGACGAGGGCCTGCGGCCCCTGGACTGGCTGGGGAACTGACGGGCGGACTTCTTCGCCAACCTCGGTGCGGAGGAGGCCAGACTGCCCAACAACGCGGTGGAGGCGTTGCAAGCGGAACCCAAGCGCGCCCTGGACACGGCCACCTTCCTGGGCTGGGCGGCGGCGCGCATCTGCCAGCTGGGCCCGTGGAGGCCCCTCGGAGAAGACGGCAGACTCCAGCGCCGTCAGGTTTGGAGGGGGCCCGCTGCCCCAGAGCTTAGCCTCACGAGGCACGAGTGCCAGGTCATCTGCTCGTGCGGCGTGCAATGCGCGCACTGCGGGAGGGAGGCCTACGCGGCGAAGGGGCGGGCGCTGCCGGACTGCAGGCCCTGCCATCCTACGGAGCTGGGCAGGATGCGGGCCCGCTGCAACCAGGGGCGGCCACTGGCGAGTTCAGCAGCTGTCAATGCGAGCCTACAGGCGGCTGAGCGGCTGGAGGAGGAGGAACTCCTGCCTGCGAGCGGGGCGCACACCACGGCAGAGGACCAGAAGCGGGCGTTGCAGCGGAAGGTCGACTACCTGCTGGAGGCGGCCAAGGGTGCCCCTGCTGCGAGGCCTGCCGGCACGGAGGCATCTGGACCGCCATCGGCGCGGTGGTCGCAGCGACCCGCTCCTCGACCATACCGAGGCTGCGAGCAGGGCGGCGCCGCGGGACGCGTGGGCTTGGCGAGGCCGCAGGAAGGCAACGACCTCTTCGCCATCGAAGCGTGGGGCCGCGCTGGCCCGCTGGAGGCCGCCTTGGGCATGCTGGCCAGCTCTTGGATCGTCGACCTGATGGGCCAGAGCCTGGCCTACGCGTCCTGGATGAAGGAGTGTGTAGAGTACGTGTGCAGGCTGCTGGACGAGGAGGTCTATCGCGGTTTCTTCGCGCACAACAGCGACGAGATGCGCGGCGCGGAGAGGCTGAGGCGGGCCGAGGAGTTCTGTGAGAGAGGCCGGCGCGATGGCGGGCCTTTCAGGGAGGCCCACGTCGACGAGGCGCTCCAGCTGGAGGGCGAGGCCAGGCAAGCCAAGCTCCAGCGGCTGAGGGGCTACCACGCTGCGGCGCGCGCCTTCCTGTGCGATCGTGGGAGCGCGCGGCGCGCTGGGGGCAGACGTGGGCCCCTCTACTTCACCTTCTTCGAGCCCGCGGGCAGAGCATATGGGGATGGCGGCTGGCGGCAGAGTGGCGCGGCCCAGCGGCGAGGACGCTCGAGGTCTCGGACGAGCGGCCGTGCCAGCCAGTCGCAGGGCCCGGCGGGGGGCCGAGCCGAGCCGCAGAGGCCTGCGCTGCCGCGGCCAAGAAGCGACGCGGAGGGCCCACAGCGGCCAGTGGACCCGCGCGCCGCCCACGCCCAGCGGCGCAGGCGCAGTGCGAGGCGGTCGGCCAGCAGGCCCCGCTCTCCGCGCGCGCGGGGCCAGCCCGCGGGCCACGCCGAGGACGGGCGCAACGGCAGCCCCGACCCCGACGCGGCGATCGGCCTAGAGGTGCCTCGCAGCATGCTGAGGGCCTTCGCGGGCTGCTGGGCGTTCGACCTGCGCGACTCGGAGGCCGCGGGGGGCTCCTGGATGGCCTGGGCGGCGCAGTGCGCCCTCGCCTGGCTGGCCAGGCCCGACAATGAGGACACGAGGGCGGCGGCCGCGAGGCGTGCAGGCTCCATAGGCTTGCGAGCGCTGGCCCAGGCGATGGCCAGGAAAGCGTGGCACTTGAAAGCGGAAGTGCGGCGCATCACAGTGGGGCACCTGATGAGCCTGGAGACCCTAGAGGACTGGCTGCACGTGGCTGCCCTGCAGTGGGCCACACTGAACGACGTCTGCTGCACCATGGAGGGCGTCATCGGCGAGGCGGGGGCCAACCTGCCCGCGCTGCCTGGCTTCGCTGGCGCCCTGCCTGGCCTGGGCCGCGCTGGCTCCAACGAGCAGCCGCCCCGCCGAGCCGGCCTGCCGCGGCCCCTGGGCCTTCGCGGCCGAGGGATTGAAGCACTGCGGCGGCCGTGGCCAGGCACTTGGTTCAACCAGCAGCTGCCGATGGCGCGCGCGACGCAGGGCGGGCTAAGGGCCCTGGGCAGCGACAGCGACGGAGAGGACGACTGGCCGCACCCAGAGGCGGCGCCGTCTGGGCTGCCTCCGCCCCCACCTGCGGCCGCTGCGGGCCAGGCGCCGCCGCCGCAGCCAAAAGGTGCTGCTCAGGGACTGCGTGGCGAGGCCGCTGCCGAGGGTGGCGGCGGCCCTGCGCTGGGGCACGGAGGAGGCGAAGCTGCGGCTGCCCGCGGGGCAGGGGGCTTCCCTGTGGCGGCTGCCTGTGCCCTTGCAGCGGCGGCGGCAGCGGCTGCTGGGCCCAGCGAGCGCGGCGGCGGCGGGCAGGGGCTGAGCGTGAATGCCCGAGGGCCCCAGCGCACGAGGAACCCCGAGCGGGCGCCCCCCCCCCCCCCGCCACGCGGGGAGGTGCAGCTCGCAGAGGTGCACTTGGGGCACGGCATGCGCACGGCGGGCCAGTACGCCTTCTGCTGCAAGTGCGGGGTCTTCGCGCAGCTGAAGGGCGTGGATCGGGCCAAGGGCCTGAAGGCGGAGTGCGGCGGCCGCCTGCCGCTCGGGCCGCAGGCCACGGCTGGCGAGAAAAAGAAGAGGCTCTACCTGGGCCGCTTGCTGAGCGGGAAGGATCCGTGCACGGGGCGGCCGCTCGGGTGAGCTCGGAGCTGCTGGCGCTGGCGGGCAGCCCGCTGGCCCTGCGGGCCCCTCGGCTGCGCGCCTGGCGCGCGGCCACCTCCTGGGCGCAGCTTCGCTGGGGCCCAGGTCCTGCTTGGCCGTGTGCACGCGCGCGGCCGCCTGCGGCCTGCTGGGGCGGGCCGACCTGATGCCAGGCCTGCAGCCGTGAGGGCTGCGCGGCCTCGCGCGCGCGTTCGGGCGCACGCGGTCGGCCCGACCGACTGCGGCCGCTCATCGGGGTGCAAGAGAGAAAGATATATATATATATATATATAGAGAGAGAGAGAGAAATAACACACATAGTATATATATATATATATATATATATGGTCTGGGCCCCGATAAGGGGGAACAGAAATAGCATGACATCCTTGCAATTCCGTTATCCCCCTTAGTGGGATTGTCCACCAAGCATACACTGTCAATGTTATCACGGATGTCACTGGTACCCTGCTGCGTGACAAAGGGGGCGCGATTTGTCCGCCTGGGCGTGTCCTCGTAAGCGCTGGGAAATATGGTCCGAGAGGGGCTTTCACCAAACGGGGGTGGCCTCCGAACGTGCTCATGCGCGCGCGCGTGCTGGATTGACAAATCCTCTGGTGCGCCTACTTACATGAACGCTCTGGCGAGACAAACTATTGTGGCACAAAAATCCCTACGACCCCCTGTGGCTCCCTACGACTCCCTACGACCCCCTGCGAATCCCTGCGACTCCTACGACCCCCTACCCCCTACGACTCCCAACGGCTCCATACGAACCCCTTACGACCCCCTACGACACCTTGCGACTCCCTACGAATCCCCACGACTCCCTACGAATCCCCCCACGACTCCCCACGACGCCCTACGACTCCCACCAATGAAGGGGGCGGCTGTGGTTCGCCCTAGGCGTCTTCGATAAATACCTGCGGACGCGCAGGTGCCCGCATGGCACCAGAGTGCCGACATTTCCCAGGCGACGGCGTCCTTCCGGCCGCCCTGCCGCGTCGCCACCGCGAGTCACCCCTGGCATGCCGACCTGCGGGGGAGCGCTGGGGGTAAAGCCGGACTTCTCCAATTCGCTCGTCGCCTGCGCATCCGTGTGAAGGACCACCGCTGGATACTTGGGTTGCACCGCCGCGCGGAAGAGTTTCCCCTTGCCTTTTTTGTCACCTGCTCCCCTAGCTTGCTGTAGGCGCACTGCGGCTCGTTCCCCGTCTACCAGGCTCGGAGACCAGGATGCCCTCGCTTGCTGGGCGCTTCGCCACGGGAGCCCTCCCTGCTGCGGCCTCCGCGGAAGCTGGCCGCTTGACGGCGGCCACGGCAGCCCCAGGGCTGGCAACAGCGGCCGCGGGCCGCTTTAGCACGCCAAGCGTCGAAAAGTTGCTCGTCGCCCCGCTGGGCCCTGCCCGCGGGTCCTCGCCGGCAGGCTTCTGGCATCGTTCGAAAAGAGCCCCTCTATGCTTGCGAATCTGGATCGGCCTCGCCCCGAGAACGGCATCCTTCCAGTGCGCCGACAACGCGAACGCGCGCCAGGATGGCGAAAATTATCCTGGCGAAAGACCCAACCATAAGCAATTGTTGGTAACGCGTTGTGGGTGCCGCTTTCGGTGGGGCTCCATATGGGGCCACGAAACGCTGCCTTGGATGGGGGAACCGCATGCGGACTGCGCCACCGGGGCGGGCCTTCGGTGGAGCTCCCTATGGGGCTACGAAACGCTGCCCTGGGTGGGGGAACCGCATGCGAACTGCGCCACTGGGGCCTTCGGTGGAGCTCCCTATGGTGCCACGAAACGCTGCCCTGGGTGGGGGAAGCGCATGCGAACTGCGCCACGGGGGCTTTCGGTGGAGCTCCCCATGGGGCCACGAAGCGCTGCCCTGGGTGGGGGAACCGCATGCGAGAGCAGCCACTGGGGCCTCCGGTGGAGCTCCCTATGGGGCCACGAAACGCTGCCCTGGGTGGGGGAACCGCATGCGAGAGCAGCCACTGGGGCCTTCGGTGGAGCTCCCTATGGGGCCACGAACGCTGCCCTGGGTGGGGGAACCGCATGCGAACACCCCCACTGGGGCCTTCGGTGGAGCTCCCTATGGGGCCACGAAACGCTGCCCTGGGTGGGGGAACCGCATGCGAACACCCCCACTGGGGCCTTCGGTGGAGCTCCCTATGGGGCCACGAAACGCTGCCCTGGGTGGGGGAACCGCATGCGAACACCCCCACTGGGGCCTTCGGTGGAGCTCCCTATGGGGCCACGAAACGCTGCCCTGGGTGGGGGAACCGCATGCGAACACCCCCACTGGGGCCTTCGGTGGAGCTCCCTATGGGGCTACGAAACGCTGCCCTGGGTGGGGGAACCGCATGCGAACACCCCCACTGGGGCCTTCGGTGGAGCTCCCTATGGGGCTACGAAACGCTGCCCTGGGTGGGGGAACCGCATGCGAACACCCCCACTGGGGCCTTCGGTGGAGCTCCCTATGGGGCCACGAAACGCTGCCCTGGGTGGGGGAACCGCATGCGAACACCCCAACTGGGGCCTTCGGTGGAGCTCCCTATGGGGCTACGAAGCGCTGCCCTGGGTGGGGGAACCGCATGCGAACACCCCCACTGGGGCCTTCGGTGGAGCTCCCTATGGGGCCACGAAACGCTGCCCTGGGTGGGGGAACCGCATGCGAACACCCCCACTGGGGCCTTCGGTGGAGCTCCCTATGGGGCTACGAAGCGCTGCCCTGGGTGGGGGAACCGCATGCGAACACCCCACTGGGGCCTTCGGTGGAGCTCCCTATGGGGCTACGAAACGCTGCCCTGGGTGGGGGAACCGCATGCGAACTGCGCCACTGGGGCCTTCGGTGGAGCTCCCTATGGTGCCACGAAACGCTGCCCTGGGTGGGGGAAGCGCATGCGAACACCCCCACTGGGGCCTTCGGTGGAGCTCCCTATGGGGCCACGAAACGCTGCCCTGGGTGGGGGAACCGCATGCGAACACCCCCACTGGGGCCTTCGGTGGAGCTCCCTATGGGGCTACGAAACGCTGCCCGGGGGGGGGGAACCGCATGCGAACACCCCCACTGGGGCCTTCGGTGGAGCTCCCTATGGGGCCACGAAACGCTGCCCTGGGTGGGGGAACCGCATGCGAGCACCCCCACTGGGGCCTTCGGTGGAGCTCCCTATGGGGCCACGAAACGCTGCCCTGGGTGGGGGAACCGCATGCGAACGCCCCCACTGGGGCCTTCGGTGGAGCTCCCTATGGGGCCACGAAACGCTGCCCTGGGTGGGGGAACCGCATGCGAACACCCCCACTGGGGCCTTCGGTGGAGCTCCCTATGGGGCCACGAAACGCTGCCCTGGGTTGGGGAACCGCATGTGGACACCCCGGGCCTTCGGTGGAGCTCCCTATGGGGCCACGAAACGCTGCCCTGGGTGGGGAAACCGCATGTGGACACCCCCACTGGGGCCTTCGGTGGAGCTCCCTATGGGGCCACGAAACGCTGCCCTGGGTGGGGGAACCGCATGTGGACACCCCCACTGGGGCCTTCGGTGGAGCTCCCTATGGGGCCACGAAACGCTGCCCTGGGTGGGGGAACCGCATGTGGACACCCCACTGGGGCCTTCGGTGGAGCTCCCTATGGGGCTACGAAGCGCTTGCCTGGGTGGGGGGCAACCGCACGTGGGACACTACCACTGGGGCACTTCGTGGAGCTCCCTATGGGGCCAAGGAAACGTGGGCCAAGGAAACGCTGCCCTGGGTGGGGGAACCGCATGTGGACAACCCCACTGGGGCCTTCGGTGGAGCTCCCCATGGGGCTACGAAACGCTGCCCTGGGTGGGGGAACCGCATGTGGACACCCCCACTGGGGCCTTCGGTGGAGCCCCCTCTGGGGCTACGAAACGCTGCCCTGGGTGGGGAACCGCATGTGAACACCCCCACTGGGGCCTTCGGTGGAGCTCCCTATGGGGCCACGAAACGCTGCCCTGGGTGGGGGAACCGCATGCGAACACCCCCACTGGGGCCTTCGGTGGAGCTCCCTATGGGGCCACGAAACGCTGCCCTGGGTGGGGGAACCGCATGCGAACACCCCCACTGGGGCCTTCGGTGGAGCTCCCTATGGGGCCACGAAACGCTGCCCTGGGTGGGGGAACCGCATGTGGACACCCCCACTGGGGCCTTCGGTGGAGCTCCCTATGGGGCTACGAAACGCGTGAGAGGTGTGCCGAGAGCAGAGGCAAGGAGGGGGAGGAGGGAGGAGGGGGAAGAGGAGGAGAAGAGGACGCGGGCACCGTCTCTTCAAAACGAGGACCCAACACCACAGGATGGTTGGGAAAAATTGGGACGCATATCCAAAACTTCCAGTTCGGTAGGGGGGCGGACCGAAGGGGAGAGTCGCGAGTAGGCTGCCTGACCACTCCGACCCGACTGAGCTCCTATAAGGCGGTGCCGCACAAGGAACGTACAACAACAGTTCGTTTTCCTGAGAGGGGAAGGAAAAACATCTTCGCGCCCTGACGCCCGGAAACGTAAGTCGAGACGGCGGCGGAACACCGCACGATTATCGCCACGCTAGTCCGAGGGAGGGCGCGGGAGGGCAGAATTGGCACGACAAAAAGCTCGGCGACGTCCAAGTACCCTCCATCCACCGTCCTCCTACCATCCTCCCAGCCAATCCTCCACATGTGCAACTATTGGCCAAGCTGGGCCAGGCGCGCATTGACAAGCATATCATCGTAACTGAATGCCTGAGGAGGGGGAGGAGCAGGCACATGCACATGCAGACGAGAGATAGGGAGAAGACTGGTACTCAGACCGATCACCCCCTATTCTCGCGAGCGCAAGAAATAGGCCGCGTGGAGCGCCACAACGGGAATTACCACACGGAAGCTGTGCCAAGATAAGTGCAGCCGCGTCGGACGACGTACCTGAGCGAGAGGAGGAGACATCTGCGCACCCTCGCGACGCGGACCGAGGCGGCAGACAGCACGCGGTCATCCAGGCGCTAAGACGGAGGGTTGA